AGAACATGCAAGCTCGACTGGTGATTGGTCAGTTGGATGACCATAGACTAATCGGCTTATACTTTCAATCGAGCATAGACAAGGGCTCTTTGATCGTCGTTTCGCTTCAGTTACTTTTTAATTTTACAAACGGCGGTGGAGGTTGTAAGAAGGGTTTATAGTTGTTTATGTTAGTCTATGGTCTAAGCTTAGTTTTAGTAGGGGAGGGAGGTTATTGAACTCTTTGGTAATCGCTTCAGTGGACTGTAATGCGGTGGCGGTTCGACTCCCACGCTTGTTATTTGTTTTTTATGCATCTATATTCGGATGACCTGGTATATTTAATATAGCAGCCGGTCTCCCACCTATAGGAATGCACGGTTGGTGTGGTGGCTGGGCAACCGGCTACCACGCAATGTGTAGCGGGTTCGATTTCCACACGGAGCAACTCTTTGTGTGGTCCACAAATTGTTGTTACGGTTCAGAGTGTTTCTATAATAACTATCGTATCTATTGTAAGACATACTAAATTAACTAAAAATCGCGGGTTACTCACGTGAGTATACTGAGAAAAGCTCTACTAGTTTCAGCCTACGTAGGCTGCACGACGTGGCCGCGACCGCGCACGCTGCTCACGAGGAAGAACCCCTCTGTGGTTCGAAACTAGTAGGGTCTGGGTGTCATGTGTATGTGATTTTGTATGTTTGTAAACGCACCTACGATACAGGAGCAAACACTAGAGGGGGCATCGTTTTTTAAAAAATAAACAAAATCCAATCGATCAATCAGTCTATATACACCCACTATGCAAGTACCTACCGAAGAAAACATTTAAAACAGATTATTAATGAGTTAATACTTCTATAAAATTTAATACCTCGTTGGCAGAGTGTTCGCAATTGCGACTGCCGGGCAAGGGGTCTCGGGTTCGTTTCGCAGGAAGGGCAAAGTATTAATGGTTGTTTTTAATTTCTCAGTAGTAGCATGGAGTCTGGAATTGTGCCCGGTATATGGCAATAGACTCATCCCCTATTACATGGGACTCATAACATAAATAGTGAAAACTGGGTGTTGCATTGTACAGTGGCATTGATTGCCGTAATGTGCACCTCTGCCTAGGTACCCCTGAATAAAAGGCGGGGATAAAAGGCGTGATGTTTTATGTTATCAATTAAAAGACTTACCGTCTATTCTCTCCTGGTGACATTATCAGAGCTGGGATGTAGGCCGTGTATTATCTGCCTACGTTGTTATGTTATTTATTTATTTTTTTATTTTTAAGAAGGCTTACAGACTAATACATTGAAAATGATTTTATAAGAATATAATATTGACAAATTGCTAATTAATTACAAGCCTCCACATATAGATAAAAAGAAAAAACAGAAAGGCATAAAAAAGAATACAGAAGACAATTAATTACTAACAAATATCAATTGCTAGAAGAATAATTAGACAAAGAAGTTAACCATCGATATATCGATAACCAACCATATATACATATGTGATGAATGAATTAATACTCCTATGAAATTTTATTATTTATCACCACGACTGAGTTTCAAAACAGCTGAAGCTGGTCTAATAATCAAATGTAATGTAATGTACCTAACGCAACCCTATTTGGTACTCTCATAAATACACAAATATATTTCATAAGGGTTAGTGTTCACTTAAGCGCAACAGTGCGTGTAAATTTTGATCGGGTCCTCGCGCGTACGACTGTCAGCAGCTGTAGCCAAATGCCATTTAGCGCTTGTCTACTCTACATGTAGAATAGAAAACCAAATTATATGGAATTGACGTAAACTTTGACACTTTTTATCTTTTTTTTTCTTCGAATCATCGAATGACTGCTCCCGCCTGCGTGAGGCGGGAGGGAGTGTCAGACTCTTACTGACTAAAAACCACCCCGTTCCTTCTCCTGCACGTCGAGCCGGAGCCCCGGTTACCCGTTAGGTTCTCCGCGACAAATTTTGACACTTTTCAGTGTCATCCCCATACATTTTGATTTCTACTCTCTCTGTAAGCGCTAAAGTGGCGTTTGGTTAAAAGCCAAGGAGGTCTAGGATTTTTATATGATAGGACGGCGAACGAGCAAATGGATCTTCTTATGATACCTAAGTAATCGGCATAATACAAAATTAAATTACATAATATTCTGTTTTTTATCCCCGAAGGGATAAGCAGAGGTGCACATTATACCACTGTACAATGTAACACCCACTTTTCACTATTTATGTTATGAATCCCATGTAATAGGGAGTGAGATATGAATATTTTTTTTATGGTGGGTGAATAGTTTATTTTTTATTTTTTTTTATTTAATCTCAGAAACAACTGGTCCGATTTGAAAAAATATTTTTGTGTTGGATAGTGTATTTATCGAGGAAGTTTATAGGCTATTAAAAATCACGTTCAATAGGAACCGAGTAGAGCGGGTGCAACAACCGCGCAGCCGTAGCTAGTTCTATGATAAAGTAAGTGGATGCGTAAATATAACACCAAGTTATTTAAATTATTGTTATTATTATCTCCATGCTCTTATTAAGAATCCTATTTGACGGAATTCCCTCAAATTCCTAATGCCCAAAAAACCGGAAACGCACTTGTAACGCCTCTGGTGTTTCAAGTGTCAATGGCGTCGCCGATTGCTTACCATCAGGAGGTCCGTATGTTCGTTTACCGACTTATATATATATATATATTGTATATTGAAAAAAAAAACACATTTTTTGACTTTTCTTTTTACACAAATTACTTTATGTATACTATCTACATGTACCTACATATATTTTATTAACTTTACAATAACCCTACTGAATCAGCCCACCCGCTCGATCAGCCAGGGCTCGTACACAGAACTGCGATGCGATGCGAATTGCTGCGATGCGATTTCGTACGACAAGGCGTCTCCCAGGGTGACCATTCCTTCGACGACCGTCAACCGTACTAAACGTATTTTAAATTAAAAACTAGGTCGTGTAATGGATCGTAAAAAGAAGTGTGCACTTCTATTATTGCTTAGGAGATACAGGAAAAAGAAACAAAGAAGATTTTGGGAAGATAAGATTTTGATGTGCGATGCGAATCAATTGCGATGCGTAGAGGGAGCTCACATTTTTGCCATGCGACATCGCATCACAGTTTTCTGTACGAGCATTTAGTCAAAGTCAAAGTCAAAGTCAAAATCATTTATTTCAATTAGACCAGGAAGGCACTTTTGAACGTCAAAACAAAATATTTAAATATTAAATAATAAGAAAAAAATTCAGTCTGTAGGTCAGTCCTCTGGTGAAGCTATTTGCTCGTTCCAAAGTGTAGATTCCTATGGAGAAGAACGAGCAAGAAACTCCACAGGTTACTCTTTTTCAATCATGTTCACAATAAAATTTTTGGTTACATTCTTTCGTTGAGTTCAATAATGTGAGAACAATGTTAAACCAATATTTGGTCAAGGAGACGGAAAAAGAAAATAACCTTGAGGACAACAAATTTAATACAGTCTGGAGCTGACCAGTTCATTTTTTTTTTAAAAAAACGTTGCCCCACACTAGGAATATCTCCTGTGTCGTGGGTGCGTTTACAAACATACAAGTTCACATACACAATGACACCCAGACCCGAAACAACAATTTGTGGATCACACAGGAAAAAGAAACAAAGAAGATTTTGGGAAGATAAGATTTTGATGGCCGATGCGAATTAGAGGGAGCTCGCATATTTTTACGATGCGACGTCGCATCACAGTTTTGTGTACGAGCCCTTTTACCGTCGATACGTCACCAATTTTTTCAGTTTATAGTTACAAAAATACACACACAACCCACAAATTTAACTAAGCATGTGTCACAGTTACGGTGCGATGGGCAAATACCTTGATACCACACCCATCGCCACACCAAAGTGGGCAGGAGCCCGTATAATCTCATAGATTATGTTCAATGAACACATCTTTAAAGGTCTTTGATCAGGAGCATTGAGCGAAGGGATACATAGCGTAGGAACTGAACATGGTACGTTTTGTAATGCGTGGTTGTTCATGCGAGCATACGGGGGCTGGGTCTGTGACGCTATTTTTTTTAACCCTTTGAGTACCGTCATTATAGACACAATTAAAGAATCGGTGCGGTCACCAGTGTCCTCGCGGTGTTTGACAGTTTAATTGGGATGATGATGCGGTATGAAAATTAAATCTAATTAGTCCGTAAGTTAGGCAATGAAAAAATATTAGACACGTATATTTTTATTTTGTCGTATAATAAAACAATACTTTGATAAAAGGATTTTTTTATTCGCCGAGTGGTCGCAAGTGCGACTGCCGGGCAAGGGGTCTCGGGTTCGATTCCCGTGTCGGGCAAATTATTACTGGGGTTTTTATAAAATTCACAGTAGTAGCACGGAGTTTGGAATTGTGCCCGGTATATGGCAATAGGCTCACCCCCTATTACATGGGACTCATAACATAAATAGTGAAAAGTGGGTGTTACATTGTACAGTGGCATTAAGTGCCGCAATGTGCCTGCCAACCCCTTTGATGATAAAATCGTGATGTTATGTGATGTAACAATGAGTTGTTCTAGAATGACCCCATGACACGTTGTACCGCAGCCTGTTAACCAACCATTGCACTAACTGTGCAGAATCTTCACACTTCTACTTAACCCATTTAGAATTAAACAGCGTGATGTTACGCTATCAGGAATATGTCAAGCACAATACATCAGCGTTTTACCCCAAAATACATGTTTTTATAATTCTAAAAAAATACACTGTTTCATAGACAAGAGCCTAATTTGGGCCGTGGGCGGGGCACGGGATGGGCCAGGAGAACAGCGACCATTACCATTTCATGTGAAACAAGTGAATTTATTTCAGCAAATAGGCTACAAGGCAGCACTTTTACACGTCAATTTTATCAAGCGAACGATGAGGTCGACATTTCCTAACTGACTACTCTGAGAAGAAATGCCGAAACAAACTCAGAGGTCCGTCTCTTTTAAAGTCCAGACAAATTATGTATAACAGATGTGAGAATCGTGCAAGTTCTTTCTGTAGTGGCCTTTTGAGGAAAGAAGAAGGCAGTACGCATGTGTCGGTTTACAGTCAGCTCAATTAACAGATGAGGCTGACTGATTCAACGAACAATACCAACCTAAAGAACATTTGCGTGGGTCGCACAAATACTCAAACTGTCATACACATTAGTTAAACATTAGCATTTTAAAAACCGACTTCAAACAGTACTTGTAAGTTAGAAATATTTTAGGTTTTTGAGAAATAAGAATTGTATTTTGAGTATGTACCTGTTTTTAATAATAAAATTATGTGCGGCGTAGTATTGTTGCTTTTACGTGGAATTTTTAGCTAGTCAAAAATGGGTGTGGCTTAAATTACATAACATAACATCACGCCTTTTATCCTCAAAGTATATCCGGGATGATCTCAAAAATTTATTTTAAATTTTGCATGAATATTACTAACAAGTCGACTCAACATATAGGTTAATTATCACACTATCGCCTACGGGACTGAATTAATTCTGACAACATTCATTACCGTAATAAAGACTAATTCAAAAGCCTAAATTCTGCCAGAAGTCATTATTCTACGGGGATGAAGTCGCGGGTAACAGCTAGTTACTAATAGTTATTATCAATGCGGAAGTGCTTACTCAAGTAATTATTTGACGAGGAACTCACTGCTAGTAGCAGTGCGACAGTCACCGCGTCGCGGGTCGCGGAATGCTGCTCATGAATACGAGCCTTTAGCATTTTTTTTACGGGGGAAAATCATCGAATGACTGCTCGCGCCTGGGTGAGGCGGGAGGGAGTGTCAGACTGACTAAAAACCACCCCGTCCCTTCTCCTGCACGTCGAGCCGGATCCCCGGTTACCCGTTAGGTTCTCCGCGACGAGCCTTTACCATGGCTTGAAACTAGCCGAGTTTCTTGTTAAACAGTTACATGAAAAAAACCAATAAACATCATAATTTATCTACTACGTCTCACGAAATCCTTACTAATAACATAACATAACATCACGCCTTTTTATCCCCGAAGGGGTAGGCAGAGGTGCACATTTCGGCACTTAATGCCACTGTACAATGTAACACCCACTTTTCACTATTTATGTTATGAGGGTGTAATAGGGGGTGAGCCTATTGCCATATACCGGGCACATTTTTCCAGACTCCGTGCTACTACTGAGATTTTTAAAAACCCAGTAATACTTTGCCCGACCCGGGAATCGAACCCGAGACCCCTTGCCCGGCAGTCGCACTTGCGACCACTCGGCCAATGAGGCAGTCCTTACTAATATTATAAATCGGAAAGTGAGTTTGTTTGTTAGTTTGTTCCGCTTTTACACCGTAACTACTAAACCGATTGCTTTGAATTTTTGCAGACGTAAAGTTAGAATTCCGGATTAAATAATAGGGTACTTTTTGTCCCGGAAAATTTTGATATTCCCGAGGGAAAACAAAAGTTTTAGTATAGATGGCGCTGTGTGTATTGGTATGTGTCACAGGCTACTTTTTATCTTTTTGCGACGCGAGCGAAGCCGCGGGTAAAAGCTAGATTATAATATAAATGTGAAAGTATGTTCATTTGTCTTTCTTTCACGCCATTTGTGTCTTATTTTTATTTTTTTAATTTTGATTTATCTCTAAATAATCGCTACTTTCATAGCCCGACCACGTCAAATATTTGCTCCCGGATAAAATAATATTAAAAAAAATATTCCCCAAGTGAGATTAAATTAAATTTTATAAACATACGTAGATACCTACTTATTCTATGTTCTTATGAAATATCTGACAATATGTAGGCGAAATAAGGCGTTAACATTGAGAAAATTGTGGTATGTATACATTATGATAGTTCCAAATGAAGTAAAAATGACTGTAGCTAACTGTGTTAGCGGCTTTGCTTGCGTTGTAGGGATAAAATAGGGTAGTTGCCTAATTTTTATTTTAATGTCCGTCTGCTAGATTATTTTAAATCATTAGACACGTATTTTTTATTTTCTTACAGAAACGAATACTTTCGACGATATATTGATTTGAAATGTCGCGTGACGTCACTTCTATGTACATTTTATACGTAGAAATGACGTTTTAGAATTTTAAATTTAATCTATTTTGAATTTAAGCGCGGACACACCATGTTACCCCTATCTTTTTTTATCGCGCTCCAAAGGAGGTTCGTAACATGAGAGTCGCCTACAACAGGTAACTTGCTTTTTATTAGTGGTATATGGCGACTAACAAACAGCCACCTGATGGTAAGCAATCAATGCCCATGGACTACTGCAACATCAGAGGTGTTACAAGTGCGTTACCTGCTTTTTGGGGGTTGGGTAATTGTGGATTGTTGGGGATTCAGAGTTTGGGGACATTGGATAAACTATATCGGAGTAAACTGACTGGCTTACCGTAATACAACACAAGCATAGGTTCACGGTTTTCTGTAAGACTACATAATTATAATCATTGATTCTGAGCCATAAGTCCGAAGTTTTTTTATATATTTCTGCCGACGTTTGGCCAGCATCTCGCCTGGTGGTAAGCGATGATGCGGTCTACGATGGAGCACGTCATCCTATAAGCAACCTATGCACTCGGGCCTTAAAGACACCCAGGTTATACCCTTCAGGAAACAGACTCTAGCAAAGAATTCCACTCCTTAGCAGTACGCACAAGGAAGCTTGATGCGAAGCGCTTCGTGCAAGTTGGTGGGACATCCACTTGTACCCACTAAGGGGCAGACAATAGCATTTCCTTGACTTCTGATGACATAACTACGACCTAGGTACATTTTTTTGTGATGGTAAACGATAAACGTCGCCTATAGACACCCGCAACACCATAGGAGTCATAGATGCGTTGCCGGCCGCATCGCTTACCACCAGGCGAGATAGTGGTGAAACGTCGGCCCATCAAATATATGTAAATGAAGAAGCTAAGTTAGCCCTTCATTTAATTTAAATTTCCCGCGTATTTTGGTTTAGACTTTATACGTCAGTATAATCTGTGGTGACAGCTTTTTTCCAATATGTCAAAGACAATGGTTTTGTTTCGTCTCGAGATTTTAGAATAAGCGCGAAAGATATTTGTGCAAATTATTTTTAAAATAAGGATACCTACAAAGGATTGTTTGAAGCAATAGCTCTTAATGTTGTTTCTTTTACAGGTTAGTGGACCATAATGTTTATCTAATACTAATTAATATAATAATATTAAGTGAGTTGTGTATTTGCAAACCATTTCATTGGTTATGTTGTATTTATAATTAAACTTTCTTTTACAGAGCAACAACATAAGTATCTTGTTTCAATAACCAACCTATTACAAAACAACATTATTTATAGCTGTTGTAAACAATGGAAAAGTTAAAATTCGAATTTATTGTAAAACCAAGCGAAGACCCAAAAACAAATGTGGTCTGTATAACCTCTATTATGGATGAAGACAAAAACATGTTCACAATTCCGGAACAATTACAACCGGTGAAACTACATGATACTGTTATAAAAACTCAAACCTTTCAAAAAGTAAAAGCTACATTACAGAGAAGACACGAAAAAAGACAAGTATGGATTTCCATAACACCAGAATTACGTAGTACATATTTAGATGAAGATGGAAATATGCAGTTCAAAGGCTATTTATTAGAGCAGATTGCATCAAAAGAACAACAACAAGTCATTACGAATGAAATGTCAACAGAAACGCTTACAAAAATCTTGGAAAAATTAGTGGAATCGAAGAAAGAGTCTACCGGAACTAATCTCAAAAAAATATCCGAAAAGATGTTTTTAGAAAAATTCACAAAGAAGACGTCAAGTGTTACACAATGGATGGACATTTTCGAAGCTGAGTGTACTCGTGTTGGTGTAAATGAAGATATTGAAAAAATTCAAGTGTTACGTTTATTTTTAGATGACTCTTGTCAGGACTGGTATAATTCTATGCTTATAAAACATACAATTAAGTCAGAGTGGTGTATTTGGAAAAAAATCTTTTGTGAAACATATGTGAACAAAGGCTGGACACCAATAAGGTATGCTTTTTTATTTAAATATAGGCAAGGCTCATTACTTGAATACGCTTTAAAAAAGGAGAGGCTTTTGTTAGAGATTAACAAATTAATTGATAAACCTACTTTAATTGATTTAATTGTGATAGGGTTACCAAATTTTATCGCAGATGAAATTGACAGGAATAAACTAAAAGACACTGAGGATTTATTTAGTAGCATTCGAGGCTTAGAACATTTGATGACAAAAAAATTCATTGAAAGAAAAGAAATAGACTCGGATACTAAAATTAAAGAAAAATACATTAAAGACCGTCCGTGTAGAATTTGTGAGAAAGAAAAGAAAGGGACTCGATACCATTCCGAAAACATATGCTGGTTCAAAAATAAAGATAATGATCGCACAAAAAAGAACCAATTAGGAGTGTCAATAATTCTCAATTAGAAATGAGTTTAAATGAAATTGACCCAAAAAACTTGTAATTCCACCATTAATCAAAATTAAAGTAGTAATAAATGATTCCATTGAAACATTAGGTGTGTATGATTCGGGATCAAATGTAAGTTTAATTAACTCAAAATTATTATCTTTAAAAAACTGCTTAAACAACAACAATCAAGCAAATTTAAGAACGATTAATGGTGTGAAAACTTCTATAGGAGTAGTAACATTAAAAATTAAGATTTTTCAAATGGAAAAAAATTTGAATGTCTTTGTCATAGATGGACAAAATTTTGATTATGACTTTTTGATTGGACTTGATTGCATAAAATCTTTTCAACTGATTCAAAATGAAAATTTAGAAATTTCACAAAAACTAAACAAAGATATAATACATAGTAATGAAAATATTCCTGGCTTCACAGGTGACAAAATTGAAAATAAACAATATGTTCTTGATAAAAATAGTGTTAAAGGACTTATACGGAAAACTAATCTTCATATGAATAATATGTTTAAGGTAAACTTTAATGAACACATAGAAGTAAAAAATTTCAACATTACAGTAAATCACTTAGACTTTCATCAACAAACAAAAATAGATGATTTAATTAATAAATATAAATCACTGTTCGCAAAAGATAAATATGATGTAGGCTCAGTGAAAGGTTATGAAGCACATATAGATCTACTAGTAGATAAATACTGTAGCAAAAGACCCTATAGATGCAGTTTTGAGGACAAAAAGGAAATAGAAATACAAGTAGCACAATTATTAAAAAAACAATTAATTGAAGAATCTTATAGTCCATTCGCAGCACCTGTAACTTTAGCTTATAAAAAAGAAGAAGGCAGAAAATCTAGACTATGCATAGATTTTCGGGACTTAAATAAAATAGTGGTTCCGCAGTCGCAACCATTTCCACTCATAGAAGACCTAATGATAAAAACGAGGAATTGTAAATATTTCTCAACACTAGATATTAACTCTGCATTCTGGTCTATACCTTTAAAAGTCGAAGACAGAATGAAAACAGCATTTGTGACACAAGAAAATCATTATCAATGGACATGTTTACCCTTCGGCTTAAAAACTTCACCGCAATTTTCCAAAGAATACTAGCTAACATCATTAGAAAACACAAACTATCAGATTTTACAGTAAATTTCATCGATGATATTTTGGTGTACTCACAGACATTCACGGATCATATTAAACATTTATCTTTATTGTTAGAAGCAATTTCAAAAGAGGGCTTTAGATTAAAATTCTCTAAATGCAATTTTGCGCAAGATTCTGTCAAATACTTAGGTCACATAATAAAAAACAACACAGTCACTCCACTGAAAGACAATTTAATAGCTATAAAAGATTTTCCTGTACCAAAAACAAAGAAAAATGTCCGGCAATTTTTAGGTAAAGTTAATTTTTATGGGAAATATATACCAAAAATAACAATCATATTAGATCCCTTACACAATCTATTAAGAAAGGATCAAAATTTTGTTTGGACAGAAAAATGTCAGGAATCTTTTGACACAATAAAAAAACAACTTTGCTCAATGCCTATTTTAGAAATCTTTGATCCGGATTTACCCATTCATATCTACACAGATGCGAGTATTCATGGTTTAGGGGCTATTTTGAAACAACCACAAAAAAATGGAGAAGAAAAGCCATGTGCATATTTTTCTAGGAAATTGAATGACAGTCAAAAACAAAAGAAAGCTATTTATATAGAATGCCTAGCTATAAAAGAAGCCGTTAAATATTGGCAACACTGGCTTATAGGAAAAAAATTTAAAGTGTTTTCAGACCATAAACCTTTGGAAAAATTAAACATTAAAGCAAGACCAGATGAGGAATTAGGTGACCTTACATATTACTTATCACAATTCAATTTTGAAGTTATATACTCACCAGGGAAAGATAATTTAGAAGCAGATAGTTTAAGTAGAAACCCTGTATTAGAATCTGATGAAAATCAGGAAGAGGTTTTAAAAATTGTTAATGTTATTAAATTAGATGATATTCGAAACGATCAGGAGAAAAATACAGATATTAAATTAAGTAGAAATAAACTAATATTGAAAGGTGATATATACTTCAAAAGGATAGGAAATAAAGAAAAGATTTTACTTACTGAAACATTTAGTAAAAAAATAATTGAAAAAATACATTATTCATACTGTCATATAGGAATAAAACAAACAGGAAATAAAATCAGACCATTCTATACAGCAAACAATTTAATACAAAATATAAAAAAAATATGTGATAATTGTGAAATATGCATAAAAAATAAATCTAGAACTAAATTAAAATATGGATTATTATCTCACCTGGGTCCTGCTACTTACCCTTTTCAAATAATGTCAATAGATACTATAGGCGGATTTGGTAGTTCTCGCTCTACAAAAACATATCTTCACCTTCTTGTAGATCATTTCACCAGATATGCCTACATACTAACATCAAAAACGCAAAATGCAGATGATTTTATAAAACTTATAAAAAAAGTTTCTTCGGAAAATAAGATTGGGATGATTTTATCGGATCAGTACCCTGGTATAAATTCCAAAGAATTCAAAAGTTTCTTACAAAATGAAAACATACCTATAATCTTTACTGCAGTAAATACTCCTTTTTCAAATGGCTTAAATGAACGTTTAAATCAAACTTTAGTTAACAAGATACGATGTAAAATTAATGAAAACAATTATAAAAAAGCATGGACATCTATCGCTCATGAATGTACCCAAAAGTATAATGAAACCGAACACACTGTGACAGGATTTTCCCCAACATACTTAATGGAAGGAAAAATCACAGATATCCTACCGGATGAATTAAAAGAGAACAAAACAATAAATGATTTACTTCGAGATAGAAAGATAGCTTTAGAAAGAACTATAAAATCACACAATTACAATAAGCAAATATTCAACAAAAATAGAGTAAATTGTAACTTAAAAGTAGGAGACCTAGTATATGTGGAAAATGGAAACCGCATGAATAGGAAAAAACTAGATGAATTAAAGATAGGACCTTATAAAATTTTAGAAAAAATATCCAACACAATTTATAGAATTAATACTGGATTTAAAAAACTTGAATCAAACTTGTTCCATATAACAAAACTTGTACCAGTGCCTGATGGGTCTTAAACTGCCTGGGGGGGGGAGATGTAAATGAAGAAGCTAAGTTAGCCCTTCATTTAATTTAAATTTCCCGCGTATTTTGGTTTAGACTTTATACGTCAGTATAATCTGTGGTGACAGCTTTTTTCCAATATGTCAAAGACAATGGTTTTGTTTCGTCTCGAGATTTTAGAATAAGCGCGAAAGATATTTGTGCAAATTATTTTTAAAATAAGGATACAAAGGATTGTTTGAAGCAATAGCTCTTAATGTTGTTTCTTTTACAGGTTAGTGGACCATAATGTTTATCTAATACTAATTAATATAATAATATTAAGTGAGTTGTGTATTTGCAAACCATTTCATTGGTTATGTTGTATTTATAATTAAACTTTCTTTTACAGAGCAACAACATAAGTATCTTGTTTCAATAACCAACCTATTACATATATATAAGATGGTACGTGATCACTGTCGCCTATGGACACCCGCAACACCAGAGAGAGAGAGAAGAGTATAATAATAATAATATTTTAGGTCAATCTCTGTCTACCCTCTAGACATGTCGCGAAGAACCAAACGGGTAACTGGGACTCCGGCTCGACGTGCAGGAGAAGGAACGGGGTGGTTTTTAGTCAGTAAGAGTCTGACACTCCCTCCCGCCTCACCCAGGAGGGAGCAGTCATTCGATGATTTTCCCCCCTTAAAAAAAACCCCATATTGTTTGTTTTTACATAGAAACTGATTACTATATCCATATCCGTATCATATGTGTACACTTACTAAAGAGATCTTACTGGCTTGCTGTTGACCCAAAAACTGGGAAGTGGTGCTGCGTTTAGACGGAACAGTAAATAAATAAGATAGTAGATTTTTTACTGACAAGCATGCATAAAAAGATTGATGATTGATGATAAAGCGAAAGAGGTATGTAAGAATCGTAGTAATGTGCTTTCCATAGTCTGTGCCTACCCCGTGAGAGACAGGTTTGTGGTTATGTATCTATGTATGTAATTTTTTTTTTATGATTCAAGCTCGCCACAATCTCCCACAGCTGCTGCAACGAATGTAAGCTAAGATCTATAGTAAATGTTACCATAAAAACACCGGAATAGTTAAACCAACGCGTCCCAGAGACGAAATAAATGGATCCCACAACGAAATAAAACCTGAAGATATGATTAAAAGGAAAAGAACTCCCGGCCGGTAATTGGGCCTCCGGTAACTATATTCACACGACGAAACACAACGCAAGCGTTGGCTCCCATCGGTTTTCTGTGAGGCCGTAGTATCACTCCCGTCGATCCGGCCCATTCGTGCCGAAGTATAACTCTCGCACACTTAAAAGAAATACAGAACGACTTCGAAGCAAAAAGTTCCTATTTATAACATTAGATATACCTATTTGCGCAGTTGCATTATTAGACGTTTCGCTTGACATATTATCATTACTTACAACATAGAAGAAAGAAAGAAAGAAAAAACATTTATTTAGCACCAGGCACGATGCAGCATAAATAAAAAATAAAAAAAGACAACCAAGATGTGGCAGTGGAAGTAATAAAAATATAAGAGTTGAAAAAAATTTAAACAAAAGAATTAGAAAAGAGACGCTGACAACATGCCTATGCTAAAAGGGTCACCCACTCAGTATAAGCCAGGCATACAGGTTACCCAGCACTGATTTTCAGTGGGCACCCATGCAGTGACGCACGGATGGTAGACATACATGTTTCTCTGTCCATCCCTTTTGAGAACGAAAGTCGTGATATTACGTTGCATTATCGTAATCACAAAACGAACTTCCAGTTTGCAACTTTAAACATCAGTTAAACGAATAACTCGACTCGTGTAGTTACTTGCCTAAGTCACTCGCCCGTTCAAACGCGCCACTGCACTTTAAAGACAGAAAAGTATTTTAAAGATAATGTTTGGCGCACATTCTAGGCGAGTTTACATGTTGTTTTACAAGGCATTATGTTTTGTAACAATTATGTACCTATTTAAACATAAACTTTATGTACTCCCTAGAGTACTAGACTGAAGCATATTTGCAGCGAAGCGCTGCCTACTCACAGCCCAGCCGTCGCGAAGGACACTCGGTGCGTCGGATCGCGGGATGATGAGGGTCTTAATATCTACCTTACGCTACTTACTAATAGAGCGAGGTGTCACACACACATCTGGCCACCGTAAGCACGGACTTGCGGGCGGCGAGCATGGGTAGTTCACCGCCAGACCAGATTCAGACCCGAGCGTACGGCGCGTCGCGTTCGGCGTGCGTCTCAAATAGGATGGATGGGGATGGGGCCCAATAGGGCTGATGTTGATACTTAAGAACTTAACGGGTTACGGGGGCTTCGGCTCGAAGTGCATTAGTAGGAACGGGGTGGTTTATAGTCAGTGAGAGTCTGACACTCCCTCCCACCTCACCTAGGCGGGAGAAGTAATTCGATGATTTTCCCTGCTTAAAAAAAAAGACTGAAGTGTACTTATAGTTACAGACTTATAATTGTGTTTTGAAAGCTTTTTCCTTGATAATATGGTCAAAAAGTACACAATAAATGTAGCATTCACCTCATTTTTTACCATTTTGGTCACGAGTCCCATGTAATAGAGCACGAGTCTATAAATACACGTCAAACACAATAACAGACTCAGTTCTAATACCGAGAATTTTGAAAATAAAATAGATCTCCCATTCCATACCTAATACGTCACGCAGAATAACTGAATTCTAGCCCTTGCTTGGCAGTCAAAAACTTGATCATAAAAACACTCGCATTTAGTTAAGTTAACAATTTACTAAAAATAACAAAGTCCAGTCAAGTACACTCTCCCGTTTGAACGCAGCACGCGAGTTGGTGGTAACAGCGGTATTTTATAGGTAATTTTCACGGGTGGCTTTCTCATCGCGTACGGTCGCTTCGCAGAGGATTTTCAACCTTACCCTCTTGTGATAAAGGTTCATTATCTATTGAAGATATGTGACAGATTGGGGTACCTTGACGTGCTGTTGTCTGTTCCTCACAATAATTAGATTTCGATCCTCTCGTATTAGAAAAGTTCAAGCGATTTTTTCGGTAATAGGTATCGCTTTAGAGTCAAATATACGAGTTTGTAGGTAGGAAAGAAAAACAGACAATTAAAATTTGTTTTTATACTTGATAGGTCGACATTTGGCTATAATCTCGCCTGGTGGAAAGCGATGATGTGGCCGACGATGGAGTACGCCTGCCTATGAACCTGGGGGCTTACTCTTAAATCCAGTCGCGGAGAACCTAACGGGTAATCGGGACTCCAGCTCGACGTGCAGGAGAAGGAACGGGGTGGTTTTTAGTCAGTAAGAGTCTGACACTCCCTTCCGCCTCACCCAGGCGCGAGCAGTCATTCGATGATTTTCCCCACTTAAAAAAAAAAACTCTTGAATCCAATTCCGATCGATCAACATTGGTATTGTGATATTTCATACTCTTGAGTCGCAAGACTAGGGCCCATTGCATCCATATTGTGTGGATATTGAATGAACTAAATGGTATTGAGTTTGGCTTTATATCCCGTACTCTGAATGCTATTTACAAAGCTACGATAGCGGTTGTATATTTTTGACATTCAATAATTATAGAGATTTTATTGGATTAAAATTGCATTGACATTGAGGTTAGTTTCAAGAGTAAGCGCCCTGATCACTTGGAACTTGAAGACACCCAAGTTATATTTGTCGGAAACACGGATTCCGGTAAGAGATTGCATTCCTTAGCGGTTCGCACAAGATGCTTGACGCGAAACGCTTCGTGCGAATGGGTGGAATGTCCACCATATAAGTAGCGCCCTACCATTCGTCTGGTAGTACGGTAGTGAAACGGACTAGGGGGAACAGGGTTGTGCAATTCCTACACACACTCATCGAAATGTATCCGATAGAAGACCGAAAGGCTTGCGACTTTACGCCTATGTTCGAGGCTTTGAACTCGAACATCCACAAGCGAATCGTCATTGATAAGCCTCTTGGCGCGCCTCTCGATGTATTCAAGGGTTCCAGCTGGCATTTAGCCTCGGACGGCGAGTATAGGTGACTCGCCGCCCGACCAGAACCAAAACCTAAGCGTACGGCGCGTTGCATTTCGTGCGCGCCACAAAGAGCCATCAGACCACCACAGATGGGGCCCAAGGGCAGACGCGGCATACGGAGCCGCGGAGGGCTTAACGGGTTGCCGGGACTCCGGCTCAAAGTGCAGGAGTAAGAACGGAGTGGGTTTTTAGTCAGTAACAGTCTTACACTCCCTCGCCTCACACGGGCGAAATCCTCAGATTGGATGATTATCCCCCTCAAAAAAAAAAGCTGGTATTTAGCCAAGCCATACTAAAGATAGGAGCTGTACTCTATGCACGACCGAACTCGCGATTTTTTTATGGAATGGCGTAAACGAGCAAACGGGTCACCTAATGGTAACCAATCGGCACCGGCCATGGAAACCTGGAACACCAAAGGTGATACATGTCAGTTAACTATCTTTTGGGGGATTAATGGAGATTGTTGGGGATTGGGGAGATTAGTTAGGAGGTAACGGGGTCCAATAACGGCTGGTTTTCTGCTCGGCTGTGGTATCACTCCGGTTGGGCCGGCCCATTCGTGCCGAAGCATGGCTCTCCCACACTTATATGATTGTTGATTTGCATTATTTAATTGGATATCGACAAGAGAGCAATCGAATCACCTGATGGTAAGTCCTGTCCATGGACATCCATAAAATCACACGAATTTCAAGTGCGTTGAATTGAAGATTTTTGGATTCGGGAAATAAAGAGGGGAGGACATGGGCCTCCGGTAACCTCGGTCGGTCCTTTACGCGGTGCAACACAACGCAAGCATGTGTGTATGTATGTATAATGTAATTTTGTTCTTGTTATCATTTTATATTTTTATTTTGTATCTATTTATTTAGATTTTTGGCAGTAATCGTTTCTATTGATTTTGTTTTCACTTTTATATTAATTTTATAGCTGAGCTCCAGCCTTTTGCGCTGCGACGCACCATAGGCTTTTCTGGGTGTTCCTAAATTCTTATTGTGTGTCGTAGCAAAATAAATGGTTTTTCTTTCTTTCTTTCTTTCAAGCGTTGTTTCACGTCGGTGTTCTGTAAGGTCGTGCTAACGTGCTGAATGAATCTGTTTAAAAATTAGCATAGTATTTATTAAATTATTATTGCTAAGACTATAATTTACATTTTTCCCAGCACCGCGGGTGAAGTCACGTGTAAAACCTAGTTTGTATGTTTGTCGTCTTTAACATCCAATATGGCGCTCATCAGTAAATTTAATTTCCACCCGATATCCGCGTATATTAAAATGTACTATAATCCTGTTTTATATTTTCATGGATCAGCAGCGCTTTGTTGCTTGGGGAAGAATTTTAATTATAAATGTTGACGCTTTTTGTCCACCGATGGGGTAGGCAGAGATGTAGGTAATTAATGTGTATTTTTAGCCGACTTCAAAAAGAAAAAAAGGACTTTCTCAATTTGACCTGTATGTATGTATGTAGGTATGACCGCCTCGTTGGCCGAGTGGTCGCAAGTGCGACTGCCGGGCAAGAGGTCTCGGTTCGATTCCCGGGTCGGGCAAAGTATTACTGGGTTTTTTAAAAAATCTCAGTAGTAGCACGGAGTCTGGAATTGTGCCCGGGATATGGCAATAGGCTTACCCCCTATTATATGGGACTCGTAACATAAATAGTGAAAAGTGGGTCAAAAAAAATCAGCCAAATCGGTCTTGCCGTTCTCAAGTTATGGCGTGACAACGGGAAACGGGTTTCATTTATATATATTACTAGCGGACCCAACAGACGTTGTCCTGCATATCCACTTGAATGTATAAACAAAAATTCATTCAAATTAGTTCAGCTGTTTAGGATAACTAACCTAAACAATGACTGCAGCGCCATCTGCCGGGCTGATTTGTGAATATAAACCATTCCCAGATCCCCTTGGACACACACAAAAAATTTCATCAAAATCGGTCCAGTCGTTTGAGAGAAGTTCAGTGACATACACGCTCACAGAAGAATTATATTTATATAAAGATTTATTTCAGTTAATTCTTGATTAGGTCCGTCCGTCTGTTTATTAGTGAAGCTAGGCGCTCGTTCCAAATTGTAGTTTCGAATGGAGACGAATGATTTATACAGTCTCATTTATACATTATCTGAGCCTTTACCTATTGAATG